ATTTTTTGGGTTAATAAAAATCGTTGTCTAATAAATACCTAGCTATGTAAATCTTTAAGTTATAAAGTTATTAGTTTAACTGATCAATTTAGTTGTGCACTGTATGTAGTAACTTTCGTAGATATCCATCATTACACAGTTTGCTACATATCGGCGTGTTGTTTACATTTTTTGGTGGAGTTTGATTGAAAATGCACACAACATATCCTCCACATATATTTTTCATATTGTATGTACACATACTTGCATATGTACAAGTATGCTTATCTGCCTACTAATTAAATTCATTCCCAAGAGAAACTACATTTCAATTACCATTAATTAGTTAAGTAGGTTTTATTCCATTAAGATCACAGGCAACCAGCAACTTTTTTGTTCATTAAAATTAACGAGATGTTCATAACCAGGGAACGGATTTTAGGACCTAAAAACCTATAAAAAAGGCAAAATAAAGTAACGAAATAGGCTGGAAAAGGCAAAATAAAATAGCGAAAAAGGCAGGAAAAGGCACTAGGTATTGTAAAAAAGGCAAAAAAGGCAAAATAAAATAGCGAAAAAGGCAGGAAAAGGCAAAAAAAAAGGTATTGCAAAAAAAGCAAAATAAGGCACTAAAAAAAGACAGAAAATACGAAGAACAATCCAAAAATATATTTTTTTTTAGAAATGTTTATATTACAAGTAAAAAGAGAAAAGCTATGAACTAGTTTCATTATATGAAAAATTTTTACTTTGAATCTTTGACTATTTTATCCTTTCGAGTTTCTAACTCATAAAACTTTAATCTGCATGGTTGTAGTAACATTGAACCACAAGATACATTTTGAAGTTTTCTGGCAGCATTTTCATTCGATTTTCGCGAAGAAAAGCCTTGAATGTACTAAATGTATAATCACTTTTTTAAAGGTAGAAAAGGCAAAAAAAGGCAAATATCTTAAAAAAGGCAAAAAAAGGCAACATTAAATGTGTATATGTGACCTGGTCTACGGAAAGGGGGCTTAGGTGTCAAAAAATCAATTTTCACTTTTTGGTTGATTCGGATGGAAGATGAGATGCTTTTTCACGTGGTGAAAAGCAGAAAACCTAACTTGCTTAGAAGTGTACTAAAAATGTAGAGAAAGAAGAGTAAAAATACGACAAAATATACATCCATATATATATACATCCACACTAGCAACTTACACGATGAACTACAATAATATTCCGACCAACAGCAACACTTACTGGACCAACAACAACACTTACTGGACCAACAACAACACTTGCTGGACGTCCGGTGCGGAGAACAATTAACGAGATAATGAGAAACTGACGAAACGAGTTGCTTACTTTTAACAGCTTTTTCACAGAAAACTAGTTTTCGCACGTAAGCTCCCTTTTCGTAGACCAGGTCACATATATGGAATCAGGGAAAGCTATATCGTGGACATTCTTAATCGAATATACTCTATCTCTTTAGCAGAAAAAAAGGCAATTTCCATAAAATCCGTTCCCTGTTCATAACCATTGCATTCGAATTGGGCAACAGATTTAATTCCATAGTACTTGGTTTATTCGATTGATAGTCGTTATAACCATTTTGGCAGAGTTCTAAATAGCAATCAAGTATTCTTGCGATATGGGGCAGCCAGCGGAGCCGCTGCAATTTAATTCTACGTCGTCTGCGGTACACAGTGCGAAAAGGTCATACATTTTCCACAGAATCTTTCTCTCGAACACTCCAAAGGCCGCCTGATTAGATGCTGTCTTCGTTAACACTTCTGGTAATTTACTTCTCAATAGTCAACTCAGTCAGGTAGCACTTGTTGGTCAGCTTGTTGCATATCCAACTTGGAAAAGGCCGACCAACGTAGCGTTTTTTGAGACAGATGATGTCGATGTCAAAAGCATAAGCCTATATGTTAATCCACGAAATGTGAAGCAAAGGCTAACTATGTATATCTAACAAAATTAAGTGAGTGCATATTTTTCGGATCTTAAAAACCCGAAATTCGGCTATATCTTAAAAACTGTAAACTTGTGTTATTGCCGACATAAATGCAAGGTGGACCTGAGTGCGTTCTATGATGAAAAATTTGTAGTCCGTTTGCCACGCCCATACAAATTATATATCGTTGGAAAGCTTAGAAAATGACCTATCGAAATAAACCATTATTTTAAAAATGCAATAAAATTTTAAATTTAATTTTAATTTAAAAAATTATAGTTTCCACCAAAAAGAACAAAAAAAAATTATAATAGGTCAACAATTTTTGTATCTCTATCATACGTGTGGCATGAAATAATGCTAGGTTCACATATAAGTAGTACCATCGTTAATCTGTAATTGTAAAATAATCTCAGATTAAACCGATAACTTTTCAGTGTCCAACCTAGATTTATCGATTATTTTTACGAAGAAGAGGAGAAATGCCAAATGAAAAAGTAAAAAAAAAAATAGAAAAAAAGATTTAAATTGCTTAATATAGCAGAAAAAAGTGATCACGGCGGCACATAGAAGGAACTTAATTTTTCTGGAGATGTGAGAATAACAAGCGCAACAAATTTGTCAGCTAATAATCTAAGATTTGCCTGTGTAAACGGGGTGATTAAAAAACGAGCTTTGAACGAGATTATATTTATATGTAAAAATACTTTAAGAATTCTAAAAAAACTTGTGACTCTAGAAAAAGGGTTGAAATGCTTTTATACATTGGTTACCAGTAACCATAGCAAGAACGTGGTGGAGTTTGAACAAAATGCTTCTATAAAATGTGGTTTGAATGTATGTCAATCAATATTGTTTAAATGTATATCAAAGAGAATATGCAATTGTTTTTTTTTTATTTAAAACAAATCACTTGATTGATGGATGCCACTATCAAATTCCTCTACAGAATTGTTATGAGATTCCCATTCTGTTGAAGTTTGAATTTTTTTCATTTTTTCATAAAAAAAAACTGGAATGATTACTTAAGAAACTATCAGGCCTATCGAAAAGAAATATTGCGGATTCTGGTGGAATACCCATCCCGTTTAGTTTGGTAGGGAACTAAGGCGCCAAACCCATAGGAATGGACGTGGCAGTTTAGGACCAAAGTTAACAAAATCAAGAATTTTCCCTAACAAAATTTGTTCGGCGCCGTTTTTGAATCGAAAAATCTTCCAGAACAAAGTTAGAAAAAATTTTATTTTATTAAAGATTTCGGCAATATATCTATTCACTAACAACTTTTGTTCCGAAATTTTTTTTTGGAACAGAAAAAAGTCAAGGTACATTGAACAGGTAGTATCAGTAGAGCAGCTGATTTGATTTATTTTCAAATTATTTGGTCTCGAAAATGTCAAATATTTTTAATTTTTTCTCACAAAAATTCTGAATTGTTAAAATCCATTTGCATGTGAAACCTTTTTCCATACAAAACAAGCGATTGAATAGCAGCTTTTGGAACGTTCGCCCAACTCAGCAGCACAACCGCTGATTACTGGCCCTTGCAAAGGATGGATCAATGCTTCGAGAAGCAAACAAATTTACTAGGAAAGAAAGTTGCATCAATTTTTATTTTTTCCAATTTCAATTTTTTATTTTTTATAATTTTTTGTATTTCACTTGGCACGCTTTGATTTGAAGAAAAAATTCAGAACAGTTTTTGACACTTTCGATACCAGAAGCAACAACAAAATACATGAAAATGTTGTTTTTGCTCTACTGATACTACCTGTTTAATGTGCCTTGAAAAAAGTCTTATTTTGAAGTTATTGTAATTGCGTATTCAAACAATTTTTTTTTTATTAAGTACAGTATTTTGAGAAGGGGGCAACCCAACCATGCACTTCAAATAGTAGATTTTGCATTTCGCTGCACATTCGCATTTTATTGAATGGTCAAAAACATCAATAAAATTGTTTTCAACATTACTTGACAGAACGTAAACGTAACAGAAAAAGGCTATGTTCGAAAATTTGGTTTACACATTTTTAAGCAGTGCCGGAAGTAATCCTTAGTAAGATTTCTGGGCCATGGGGGTTTTTAAAGTACATACCCTGTCTTGATGTATAAAGCATTTTATAATAAAAGCATTTTTATGTGTCGGCAAGGTGTTCGGGAAGTGCCCCAAAAACTCAATTTGTTTAAAATTGAGTTTTTTTATTTTGCTCCATATTACCCACAGTGTTTGTTACATTTTCTTGGTCCATGCGGATTTAAAATGTGCTTTTAATATGTTTTTGAAACGAACACCTATTCCAAAATCGACTGAGTTTTAGGGGTCGGCAAACGGTTTGGAAAATCGCGGTTTATCATTTTTCACCGTTTTTGACCTACAAATCCGTTAACTCTGAAGCATATGCCCAGGTTACATATTAGGGTGGTCCAAAATAAGTAAAGTCGAAATTGTCATGCTCACCCCCTATGATTGTGAAAAATTTTATAGGTCACTCAAAGCGCTCAAAGATTTCCATGTATTTTATATGGGAAAAACAACTTTTCTTGGAAATGGTATAGAATACTTTAAAATCAATATTTTTCGATCGGAAAACATTGCATTTTCTGGGGATTTTGGCAGACCTATAAAATATATTTTACTATGAAACAATGGTTGAATAATTTATTGGGTATATGTAATTATTGGAAGTCTCTTGAAGAGAAACAGAGTTTTGAGATCAAAAAATATTGATTTTTAACGTAAAGTGCTTTTTCCCCACAAAAAAATGGAAAACTTTGAGCGCTTTCTATTTTGGGACCACCCTGTCCCACCCTGGCCACGTAGGTCGCCATAAAAAGTTTCTAAAACGTGTTCTTTATTTACAAAATATATCTGATTTTGAGAAATTTTCTCGAGGTCATTCCATATAAATCCTTATATCTCGTAACAGAAAGTTATACAGTTCAAATGAGCCTAGTTTTGAATATAAAATACAATTTTGAAAAAACCACAAAAATTACACCTTGTTATCGATAGTAAAAATATTTCTTTGTATTTTCGTAAAGCTCATTTACTTACTTTTAATTTTTTTCATTACAGATATTACTGATGACTATCACTTAAAACCAATAAGTACTTCCAAAAATATGATGCCTTCAAATGGGGTTCAGAATCGGCGAAAGTAACAACAAAATAACTGTTTGCCGGCATCGAACGCGTTTAAAGTGGTGATAATGGTAAGGCAACCATAAAAATCTAAAAAACCATTGCAAGCGAAGCCTTACAATAATTAGCAGAAGATGTAATTTAATAAAGAGCGGATAGGAAACAGAGGTAATTAGCTCCAAATTTACTAATTGCCGTTACCTGCAAACAACAGCAGCAACAACAACGAGTTAAATAGCAACAACTTCCTTTGGAAACCGCAAAAGCGCAACCAACGTCTATGGAAATCCAATTGAAGAGACGTCGACCACCACAGCAGGAAGAACAACAACAACCATACCGACTGCTACAAACGCAATCACAATACTACCACAACCAACTGCACCAAAAGCAACCTCAGCAGCAAAAACAAAAGAAACACAAACAGCGACGACAACGACCGTCTCAGCCACAACCACAGTCAGAGCCAGAGCAACCACAGAGGAGAGCAACACGCTGTAGCTGTAGTAGTTATAATGACGAAATTAGTTATATGCCTCTTATTTTTCGGACTATTCACCATCCAGACGGTCGGCCACATGAACAGTGACCCAGCGCCAGGCCGTTCACCAGGACCGCCTCCCGCTCAACGAAGTCTCGCTGCAGGGCCGCCCGTGGCGCTAAACGAACGCACCGCAAAATATGCTGCCACTACTGCTGCCACTACTGCTCCCGTAACCATCGACACAGCGACCGCCCTCGGCACTGGGACTACAACAACGGCGGCGCAGAGCCAGCATCACAGACAAGACAAAAATGGCGAGCGCACACTGGCACAAACGACAGGCCGCAATTACGGTAATAACAGTAACAATAATAATAAAGATGTTGGGGTGGGCAAAAACAGCAACAACAACAACGAACAACAATTAGTTTCCGGTATACCAGAGTTAACCAACACCAATGAGATTAACATCAAATTAAACAAATTAGCCGACACGACAACAGCAGCTGACCACGTCGTCGCCAATGATTACACATACGATAATGTGGCACACGTGATGGCAGAACCGCGGCTGGTGCAGAAGTTGCCGGAACCAGCGAGTGAAATCATAAAAAAATCTGTTACAGGCACAGCAGCTGCGGCAGCGTTAATTGTGCAGGAGGCGAAAACGAACACTATTAGTAATGCGAGATCCTGTCACGATGGTTTTAGTGATTTCCTCAACGATGTAGTAGACGTTGATGAAGAAGAGCAAGCGGCGGGGAATGGTGAGGACGTTTTCGATGCGCGCACGCGAAACGGCGGACACATGGGACATCATTTGTTTATAGATTTGCAGCTGGAGCATAATGTCTTCGAAACGTCTGCGGCGGGCATCAATTGTGGTTTGATGTATCAGGGTAAGTACATCTCAAAATACGAGGGCAATGAGAATATTTTGGATGGACTAACAGTTCGTGGCCGAATTTATGGATTTTTGCCAAGTTGACTGACTGACTACACATGTTTGTACCTGTGCATTGTCTTAATAAGACAATAATTTTTTCTTCGCCAAGAGCGGTCGTTTCTTTACAAAAGTAATATTTCCCGGTGATCATTTTCCGAAATAACTGTGGTCATGACCGTGCTGCTTTTTTGATTGTTCCTTAGCCTTTAGTGTGGTGTGATGCATCCATGTTCCATCAACGGTAACGAAACTGCGCAAACACTCCTTTGAAGTGGTCGCACGGTTGGGTTATGGTCGAGTGTAAGCAATCGCGGAACCCATCGCGCGGAAATCTTTCTCATACCCAAATAATCATGCCAAATGTGATGTAACCGATTAATTAAGATGCCTACAGCCTCAGCCACCTCACACACTTGGCACGACGAGCTCTTTTGAGTTACTGAACGTTCAGTAAAGTACTTTTTAACCTTCGGTTTCGGTTAAAGTTGTTTATGCACAAAATAATAATTAATCAGCACAAGAAACTCAATTGTTCCCATTGTCACTGATTTCCGAATATTAAGTAAAAGTGATCTATTGTGCCTTCTTCACTTCGCAGTACTTCCTCTAAACTTAGATCCCCCACAAAGTTCAATAGCGCTTTCGAGGATTGGCACTGAATGTGCCTACACCTCACACACTTCTTCTGCAGACTGCATGACACTCGATGAGTATGTGGAGTGGTGTTTCGCAAGTAGAGTCGCAGAACAGGCAAAGGTCAATCCCCAGCTTATACAGATGTCTTCGTTGTCCGCAGCGCATTGTTAGAAAACCTGTTAGTATTGTCAGCTTCTACTTTGGGAGGTTAATTAATCTTTGCAATGCTCCCAGTAGAACCCTTGCCTGACGCATACCGAACTACGCCACGTTAAATCCCCCAAAGTGTTTCTCTCCCTCCTAAACTCCTCCTTTATAGTATTGGAACCCACTCCCAAGAAGCCTCGGATCCCGCTGGAGTGATGGCCAGGTACCCACGCTAATCGGATATTATTGTGCCTACTAAGGACCAAAGACGCTTTGATTTTATAAGATAAGATTTATAAGTCTCCTAGTCGTGGGTCGAAAGATTCCTGCGCCTATTACATCTAGGCCTTTCGAGCCGTCTTTGTACCAGTTCGGGACCCTGCGTCGCCATGTTCCTAGTGGATATGACCATACCTCTTTCAAATCGCTCTTTAGCAAAACTAAGCAAAATTCTTTTGGCTTCCTGCCTATGGTTATACAGAGGCGCTCAATTAATGCTAGCCCTAAATTGGTAAAACATCGTAAGCATTGTTAATCTTAAGCCTCTTTGATTAATTCCACGGAGGGTGCTCTCAATCTTCTCTCTGGCAATTATCGCCATGGCGCCGGAATAGCCTAGCATAGCATTGTCAGGGAGAAGCTGAAGAAGTTCATCCATAACTAGGCTCCACAGAAGTGGAGGTGTACCACGTTGTCCCCTATGTCATCGGTTTCAGCAATTCTAATGTGCAACAGTGTATCCACCTAGCTGCAGATCACCAGCTGCACAATCCTTCTCTCCAGCGACTGAATGATAAATAACCGAATAGCCAGTCGCTACCACAGGCTGCTAACATATCCGTCTCAAATAAAAACTCAAATTGTTTTTCTGCATAGTTTATTCCAAATATAGCCGGACACACATAACATATATTCAGCTTCAAAGATAATCGGAATGCGTAGTAGCCCTCTATGTCTTCACGCACTCACTTAAACATATGAACTTAAACTTCCAGCATATTAACTTAATGGTCCAGGCTAATGGCGCCATTTAAATTAGGTATCCCCACTGCTAATATTTCCCAGTATGCTTGATCTGATTTTAAAAATTAATAACCCTTAACCC